ATTATTATTATTATTATTATTATATAACGCGCGATGATTCAATTGGTTTCGAAGGAAGCTGCGGTTTAAAAATCGAGAGAAACAGAGATGGAGAGAGGGAGATATTTAGGATGAAACAATTATTATGTTTTTGTTGTTGAATAGAATCGGTTTAGTTCATTTCTCGTTTGGTTTATTTTAAAATCTATGATTAAAAATTATAATACATAATGGTACGTTTTATTTATTATTATTATTACTAAATAAAATTTAAAAAAAAAACAAAATAAACGAGAAAAACGGTGGGCTTTGTTTCTTATCTCTACGTAACGTAGATATTCTCGTTATCGAAACGTTCAAAACACAATATGAAAAAAATAACTGTTAGTTTCGTTCGAGTTTTCAATGAGTAAACGATAAGAAATTTTTTTTATTTGTATTTACATAATAGAATGAGATCAATTTTGGGCGTTGAGGTTATAAAAGGTTAATTTATTTATTATATGTTAATTAAGTTGTTTTTTTATTGCAGGAGATTCTCGATAAATGCACGGAATTCGACCAAAAACATTCCAATTCACCGACGAGGCCTAAACCAGCGAAATTCCCGGCGATTCCTGATGATGGCGTCGGTGGGGTTGAGTTAAGGAGAAGCGAATCGAGCTCGAATAGGAAGGAATACGCTCAAACTATTCATGAAACTACGAATAGTATTAAAGGGTATGTTGAATGTTTTTTTATCGGAGGATGAGATAAGATAAAATAAAAAGGTATATATAATATCCGAGAACGATGAAAAATTGGTAACAACATTGTGAATTCTATCAGTGGTTATTTCTGGCAAGAGGATTTGGTCTTTTACAAGCAATATGTAGTCCTCTGCATGCAGTATAGTCTTTTGGAAGGAGTATATCGAGAAGTATCTAGCTCTTTACGAGTACTATAGTCTTCTGACAGGAATATTTGATCCTCTGCCAACAATATTTAGAGTTCTGGTAGTACTATTCGGTCTTTTACCAGCAATATCTAGTCCTTTGCATGCAGTATAGTCTTCTGACAGGAACATATGGTCTCTTACCAGAAGTATTTAGCTCTTTACGAGTACTCTAGGCTTCTGGCACCGTCTACTAGTAATATCAAGTCTTCTATCTGCAGCATTAAGTTGTTTACTAGCAGTATATAGCCTTTGGAAGCAGAATCTAGTTCTCTGCTATTAATTCCAAAAAAAAGAACTTTGTTTTCAATTTACAGCCGAGGCAGTGGCTTAGTAACACTTTTTTTATACATAAATGCTAAAATATTAAAGCCATCATCCAAAAATAGCTGATTTTAGAAACTTTGGTTACTCAAAGAAGTAGATATATTTGTATTAACCTTAAAAAGAGAACTTTAAAGAAAGTGTGTCGTTTTATATTTATAGCCGAGGTCGCTTGCGGCCGAGGCAGTGGTTCATTAACACTTTTTCTTTGTCATAAATGACAAAATATCAAAGGTATCGTCCAAAAAGAACTGATTTTAGAACTTTTGTTGCTTAGACAAGTGAACTGTATTTCTAAATTAATGCTAAAAAGAGAACCATAAAAAACTGTACCATTTTATATTTATAGCCGAGGTCGCTTGCGGCCGAGGCAGTGGCTTAATTATATATTTTGTTAAATATGGGCGGAAAAAAGAAAGCCAATCTCAAGAAATAACTGATTTTGGACACTTTGATAGATACTTAATCAAGTAGATATACTTCTGTTAATCTAAAAAAAAGAACTTGAAAGTGTATTGTTGTATATTAATAGCCGAGGTCGCTTGCGGCCGAGGCAGTAGCTCATTGACATTTTTTCTCAGTCATGAGTGATAAAATATCAAAGCCATCATCCAAAAACAACTGATTTTAGAATTTTTGATGCTCAGACAAGTAGTTGTATTTCTAATTAATTCTAAAAAGAGAACTGTAAAAAACTGTATCATTCTGTATTTATAGCCGAGGTCGCTTGCGGCCGAGGCAGTGGCTTAATTATATATTTTCTTAGATATGGGCGGAAAAAGAAAGCCAACCTCAAGAAATAACTGATTTTGGACACTTTGATACTTAACCATGTAGATATATTTGTAATAACCTCAAAAAGAGAACTTTAAAAAAGTGTATTGTTTTATATTTATAGCCGAGGTCGCTTGCGGCCGAGGCAGTAGCTTATTGACACTTTTTTCAGTCATGAATGACAAAATATCAAAGCCATCATTCGAAAACAACTGATTTTAGAATCTTTGATGCTCAGCTAAGTGGATATATTTTTATTCATTCTAAAAAGAGAACTTTGATAAAGTGTATCGCTCTGTATTTATAGCCGAGGTCGCTTGCGGCCGACGCAGTGGCTCATTAACACTTTTTCTCAGTCATGAATGACAAAATATCAAAGTTATCGTCCAAAAAGAACTGATTTTAGAACTTTTGATGCTTAGACAAGTAATTTTATTTTTAATTAATCCTAAAAAGAAAACTGTAAAAAACTGTATCATTCTGTATTTATAGCCGAGGTCGCTTGCGGCCGAGGCAGTGGCTCAATTATATATTTTCTTAGATATGGGAGAAAAAAGAAAGTCAACCTCAAAAAATAATTGATTTTGGACACTTTGATATTTAACCATGTAGATATATTTCTAATAACCTTAAAAAGAGANTTAGTCATGAATGACAAAATATCAAAGCCATCATTCAAAAACAACTGATTTTAGAATCTTTGATGCTCAGCTATGTGGATATATTTTTATTCATTCCAAAAAGAGAACTTTGGAAAAGTTTATCGTTCTGTATTTATAGTTGAGGTCGCTTGCGGCCGAGGCAGTGGCTCATTAACACTTTTTCTTAGTCATGAATGACAAAATATCAAAGTTATCGTCCAAAAAGAACTGATTTTAAAATTTTTGATGCTCAGATAAGTAGTTGTATTTCTAATTAATCCTAAAAAGAGAACTGTAAAAAATTGTATTATTCTGTATTTATAGCCGAGGTTGCTTGCGGCCGAGGCAGTGGCTCAATTATATATTTTCTTACATATAGGCGGAAAAAACAAAGTCAACCTTAAGAAATAACTGATTTTGGACACTTTGATACTTAACCATGTAGATATATTTATAATAACCTCAAAAAAAAAACTTTAAAAAAGGGTATCGTTTTATATTTGTAGTCGCTTGCGGCCGAGGCAGTAGCTCATTGACACTTTTTCTCAGTCATGAATGACAAAATATTAAAGCCATCATCCAATAACAATTGATTTTAGAATTTTTGATGCTCAGCTAAGTGGATATATTTTTATTCATTCTAAAAAGAGAACTTTGAAAAAGTTTGGCGTTCTGTATTTATAGCCGAGGTCGCTTGCGGCCGAGGCAGTAGCTCATTAACACTTTTTCTTAGTCATGAATGACAAAATATTAAAGCTATCGTCCAAAAAGAACTAATTTTAGAATTTTTGATGCTTAGACAAGTGACTGTATTTCTAATTAATCCTAAAAAGAGAACTGTAAAAAACTGTATTATTCTGTATTTATAGCCGAGGTCGCTTGCGGCCGAGGCAGTGGCTCAATTATATATTTTTTTAAATATGGGCTGAAAAAAGAAAGCCAACTTCAAGAAATAACTGATTTTGGATACTTTGATACTTAACCATGTAGATATATTTGTATTAACCTCAAAAAGGGAACTTTAGAATAGTGTATTATTCTGTATTTATAGCCGAGGTCGCTTGCGGCCGAGGCAGTGGCTCAATTATATATTTTCTTAGATATGGATGGAAAAAAGAAAGCCACCCTCAAGAAATAACTGATTTTGGACACTTTGATATTTAACCAAGTAGATATACTTCTATTAACCTTAAGAAGAGAACTTTAAAAAAGTGTATTGTTGTATATTAATAGCCGAGGTCGCTTGCGGCCGAGGCAGTAGCTCATTGACACTTTTTCTCAGTCATGAGTGATAAAATATCAAAGCCATCATCCAAAAACAACTGATTTTAGAATCTTTGATGCTTAGCTAAGTGGATATATTTCTATTCATTCCAAAAAGAGATCTTTGAAAAAGTTTAGCGTTCTGTATTTATAACCGAGGTCGCTGCGACCGAGGCAGTGGCTTAATAATACATTTTCTGAGACATGGGTGGAAAAAAAAGAGCCAACCTCACGAAATAACTGATTTTAGACATTTTGATACTCAACCAAGTAGATATATTTTTATTAACCTCAAAAAGAGAATCTTAAAGAAGTATATTGTTCTATATTAATAGCCAACGTCGCTTGCGGCCGAGGCCATGGCTCATTAACACTTTTTCTCAGTCATGAATGACAAAATATCAAACCCATCGTCCAAAACGAACTGATTTTAGAATTTTTGATGTTAAAATAAGTGACTATATTTCTAATTAATCCCAAAAAGAGAATTTTAAAAAAGTGTATCGTTCTGCATTTATAGCCGAGGTCGCTTGCGGCCGAGGCGGTGGCTCAATAATATATTTTCTTAGACATGGGAAGAAAAAATAAAAAAATAATATTCATATATAATAAATAATAATATAATATATTATAGTATACAAGGTGATTCAAAAAACCGCTGACAGACTTCTAGTGCAGGTAAGTTTCTTTAAAATTAAACATTTGCAATAAAAAGCCCTATTTTAAAAATATTTTCAATTCCACTGCTAATTTTGTCAAACGGGCAGTATTTTCGTGTAAAGTGATCATTTATCTATCAATTGGTCTCTTACAAAACTTTGATTAAAGCAAGAGTTTTTGATTGAATTAACAAATTTTCTACAAACGTGTTTTTCTTAAAAACTATTGCTTTGATCAAAGTTTTGTAAGAGACCAATTGATAGATAATTGATCACTTTACACGCGTAGAGAGCAATGGAGTAGACAATAGTTTTAAAAAAGTGCTTTTTATTGCAGATATTTAATTTTAAAGAAACTTTGATCCGCTATATCTCGCCAACGAGCCATTTGCGACCTCATGTATATTAAGACTATTCATCTTAATTTTTCATGTATTATCTACTCTACAAGTTTGTCAGCGGTTTTTTGAATCACCCTGTATATTTTGAAAAAAAAAATTAATTTAATTGAGTTAGGGTTGAAAGAATTTATGTCTATTAAGTTTGACACACGATTTCTAATAAAAGGAATAAATATAATAAAAGATGACCTGTTTAGTCAAGCTTGTTCCGCACTGATCAGAGAGTGTATCCAAAAATAGCTGATTTTGGATATTTTGATATTCAACGAAGTAGATATATTTATATTAACCTCAAAAAAAGAACTTTAAAAAAAGTTTATCGTTCTCTATTTATA